ATGAAATTTATTTCAGGAATTTAGATCACGTAATTTGCATTTTTTTGGACTCTGGACTCAAGGGAACCCGGAACAGACATCCTCTGCCTGCTTCCCCCAGTCTCTAGTGACCCAGGGATCACACCCATAAGCCACACCCTGCCAACACCAGATCTTCATCGACCACCCACCAGAATTTATGGATGCTCCTCCCAGACAGGAGTATAAAAGGAGGCTCCAGAACTATGCCACTGGACTCCGCACCAGGCTGTGGGGTGGGTGAGAGCCCTCCCCACCCCAAGGGAACCAGCCCCAGCAGCCGACCTCCACTGCCCAACCACCGCAACATTCCAGGCCACTTTACTTATTGCTATAAAACCTTTTACTTTATAATTATCTACACATAGTACATACTCAGGGCTGGAGCGATAGCACAGCAGGTAGGGCATTTGCCTTGCATGCAGCCAACCTGGCCGATCAGGGTTCGATTCCTCCGCCCCTCTCGGAGAACCCAGCATGCTACCAAGAGTATCTGGCCCGCACAACAAAGCCTGGCAAGCTACCTGTGACGTATTCGATATGCCAAACACAGTAACAACAAGTCTCACAATAGAGACAGTACTGGGCCCGCTCGAGCAAATCGCTGAACAAGGGGACATCAGTTCAGTATATACTCATTCATTTTGAAATTTATCCCTTTTAAGACATGTATTGAAACTACTTTTACATAATGAAAATTACTTTAATAGGTTTTGTGACAAATAAGTACACAAATCACTCACAACACACAATCTCAAAAGTATAAAGAAAGAGAAATCAGATAATGTTTGAGAGTAAGTGAAAAGTTTAATAAGACTGTTTCTAAAACTGTGCATTTTTTGTTTATGCTTTACTGTAACTTCCACATCTTCTCAAATAAAAATGACTGAGTCTCATCATTGAAAACACAAACATTATTAAATTTTAAAGAGGCTTGGGCAAAAAAGGATATGAATGTCAATGAGTCTGAAATAAAATGAAAGATAATGTGCATCTTGGAAATGGTTTAAGTTTACAGATACTTCCAGAAATTGCACAAATTTAAATGCAAATACTTCTGGCATTACTTAAGCAGAAATCACCTAAAAGAGGTTTATCTTCTGCAGCACAACAGACTCCATGACTTAAGGAAAGCAAAAAATCTTTATCTAAATACAACCTCAACTGTTGAGAATCACTGGCATCAAGAAAAGCCAGCCAACGAACATCTTTACGATGCCTGGTGCCAGCCATGAATATATAGAAGATTTTTATTGTCTTTTCCTACAGTTCTGATATTAAGACCATTCCAGATTTCTGAGATACACACCTGCTGTCTAAACTTTTTGGCTAGGTCAAGTGCATTCAGACAGGAACCTGAAGGCTGAGTTATTTTTAAAGCTTTATATTGGGCTCACACTCCCTCCCAAATTTACTGCGCTTAATCCCACCATGTTTCCGAGGTACAATCCCTCTTCTTATTCAGAGCTGTTTGCCAGAAATGCGTACACACACTGATGCCGAAACCCTCAGACCTCAGCGCTTCCCGAACACCGCTTCCTGGCACGGTTACTACAACAATTGCTTTTCGTGGATTATTTCCCCTAATCCTCACAACAGCTGAAAGCAGGAGAAATTATTACCTCAAGTACAAAGATGAGAATTAGACTCTGCTGTGCACTATGGGCCACGCAACTAAGCAAGTTCAGTCCACATTCCTTCTTTCATTTATTTATGGACTCCGCTCTGTGCCAGGGACTGTTTCAGAATCTAACCTAAGCGGTGTGTACAGCAGGCAAAGTACTTGCCTTCCACATGGCTGACCCATGTCCAGTCCGCAGCACTGCATCATGATCCCACAAACCATGTCAAGAGTCATGCTTGAACAAAGAGCCAGGAGTAAGCGCTGAGCACTGCCAGGTATGGCCCCAAAATCAAAACACCAGTACCACTACTACTACGACTACTACTAGAATAAGTTGTGCTTTCAGCTCTACTAACCTAAATTTTAAAGTAATTGGAGATTCTTGACTTTGATGTGCTTAGCCTGCTAATCCCCACCTGCTTTGGTCAACATGACCTACAGCATGCTGGGTTAACTCACTCATTGACTGAATCCTCACTGGGGACACTGAGTTGAGATCCTAGGGACATTGGGATATAGACATCCAAGGATGCTGGAATGCAGTTCTCAAAAAATAAAACTGGATAGAGACCTCCAGGGACCCTTTGGGAAAAAGTCCCTGGGACCACTGTCACGGGCGAACTTCAATCAAGGGAAGACACTAGGACATCTGTGACAGGTCTCAATGTTCTTTGCAAATTTATTACCTCCCCTAGCAGAATCTGTGTCTCTAACCAAAAGCCATCCACCTGCAGTGTGCATGCGCACATGTGCAACGCTGTCTGCAGAGCACCAGGAACTGCAGAGAATCGGAGCCAGGCCTTAGGGAACCATGCTCACAAGATCTTTAGGGGGAGAAATGCCAGCCCAGCTATGCCTGCTGGGGGCATGTTTGCATCTTCTCCCTTAGAAAGGGGCCCCTTCCTGATGGGCTACAAGAGCACTCTTCCTTAGAGGTAAGGGGGTGGCTTCGAACCCATTGTGCCTCAGTGGACCTGTCAAATGGAGGAATGGGGAGTAAATTGGTCCCAATCCTGAGTCCAATTTCCTCTGAGTTTCTACATAGAGGAAAGAGGCACATCTACAAAGAGAATTCTGGAAAAACAAAGAGTGGATCAACACTGAGCTTCTTCCGTGAGGAGAAAGTCAGCTGCAAGTTAGAGAAACACAGAAACGCCAAGCATATCCTCTACCCTGTGAAAGTTGTGACCGGATGGAGGGGATGATGCTCTCAAGAATGAACGCAGAGGAGGCAGAGACGAAGTGAGCTGGCGGGTGTGCCAACGGGACCATGCAGGGCAGGACATGGCACAGATGGTGACATGGTGCTCAGGTTGTGTGGAAGGTCCCCGAGGAGACTGACTGGGATGGAGAGCATTCCCTCAGAGCAAATGACAGGTTACCAAATGTGCAGGCATGAAAGGTAAACATCTTTTTATTTGGTTTTGGATTTTAGGCCATACTGGTGGTGCTTACAGCTTACAGGGCTCTGTACTCGGGCATTTCCTGGGCCCGAGCAAGCGCTGGAGGTGTTCAAGGAACCAGATGTGGTGCTGGGGTCCAAAGGGTCTGCTGCGTGCAAGGAAAGTGTCTTCCCCTCTGCCTTTTCTCTCTGGCCCAAAAGGGAGCCATGCGAAGTTATGAGAAACGTAAATAATTCACTTTCCTGAACTATATGAGAATGTTAGAAAGAGATGGAGAGACAGAGACAGATATAGAGAGGGGATGACACAGTCGATGATGTTGGACAACAAGTCAGCATGGCAGAGGGCTTTGGGCCACCTCCATAGCCCGCCTTTCTCTGCTGGCATCTACTGAAAGGGACACACTGCAGATTACCTTGGCATTGCTATGCAGGAAGAGGAGAGACTAGTGATAAACCCCACAATGCAAGAGCCCAGACGCCCAGAGTCAGGGTTCAGTGGAAGTCAGGATCGAACCCCCAGCATCCCTGATGGGTAAAAATGCAAACACATCATGCCAAGTAAGTCCATTCAATGCACACCCACCATCCACCCAAAAGCATCAAGAAAAGCAGGTACCATGTTCAGTGTCAGGAACTAAAACAACTGTGCTCACCTCACTAAAAGCTACACAAGCACACATCTTAGTGTTTGGGAGGATGGACTAGATGCACGAGCACTCTTTAAGATCTGAGAGCGGAGATCTGTGATTCTAGAAACTGCTCAGTGTTTGCTGGCAGGCCCAAAGACAAAGCCCCAGTTGGCCTCACTCAAGGGCTCCACACACAGCCTTTCTAGTTATGAAATTCATGTTTCGTAATCTAGTCAATTTGGCCAGAACAGATGTGAGTCCTCTTTCTCACAAAGGACTTCCCTTGGAAACCAGAGAAATTCAAATTTATAAATGGTCTCTGGCATCAAGTGCAATGTCATGTTTCGATGAGATGATAGGGAACATTCTTCATTCATCATCATGAAAATATACTGGTAGAATGGGGCCCGAGAGATAGTACAGAGAGTAAGGCACTTGCCATGCACATGTTCTCCCCACCCCCCACCACCCAGGTTTGATCACCAGCACCCCAAATGGTCCCCTGAGCACTTCCAGTAGTGGTCCTTGAACACAGGGCCAGGAGTAGCCACTGAGCTCTGCTGGATGGACCCAAACCCCAAAACAACAACAAAAATATTGGCAAGGTAGGTGAGGGAAAAGTAGCAATCATGTCTGTTTCTCAAGGAAGTAATCAGGAGCTTGGGGGAAACCATTCAAGATCAGTTCTGATTCTGTTTCAATGGTCTCACCAGCAACCAAAAAGAGAAATACCTAAATAGAGCGATGTGTGTATTTGAAAGGATAAAACTAATAAAAGCAGCTTCCTTTGATTCTCAAAAGACTGGTAAGTGGCTTTATCCAGGTCACAAAGAAAGGTGCCAGTTGTCTTGGATGGCACAAAAAAGCCTGAGTTCTAAACCTGTCCCAAGAGTGTAGTGATAAATCAGAAATGTGTTCGTGAGGTCAAAGTGCCTGCTGGATCTACCGCTTGGATCCATCTTTCATAAGACAACCACCCCCTGCCCCTGTTAGATATTTTTCTATTTTTGCTCCAATTTTCTCCTCTCTAAAGTGAGAGATGTTGACAAGACCTCCCTGTCAGACTTCATGGATGGGGGGAAAAAATGAGTTAATTCATGCTGCAACAGTTTGTGACATGACACAGAGATGGCCCAACAAACACGTGCTGTAAAGAACAGTACCCGCTTTCACCCATGTGAGGAATGCACCTTACAACACTCATATCATATCTCATTATGAGAAGAAACAGCACTCTACCCTCAGTAAGTACTGCAGAAAAGTTCATGTGCCCCACATGGAAATTCAAAAGCAGCTACAGCAGCAAAACATTAAGGTCTCTCACCTTGCTCCAACCACAAGTTCTTTCTGTCCTGGGTCAAATGTTAACTGCGAGAAATCCACTGCATTCTTCGCTCTGAACTCCCGCAACCAGGGGCCAATTTCTAAATAGGAAAAGCAAATAAATAACAAGATAAAAATGTATGATTTCCTTCCTCTGCAGAGCACAGCATCCATCAGGCAGCCAACATGACATTTCAGAGAGGGCAGGAAGCCCCCCTCCCCGAGGGGATGGTTTAGGGGCCACCAGATTTTCCCATGAGGGTTTCACAGAAGCCATGCTGAGGATGTGCTCAGCGAGGCAGCCATGGTGGTCTGCAGGCCAGAGGTTCTGGGCAGTGTAGAAAATAGGACGCTCACCAGACTCATCAGAGCCATAGGGAAAGCAAACAAGACCATTTCCTGTGCAATTGGACTGAAATTTGATGAAGCCTGGGAAAAATCACCAAAGCACTCCTGGGGGACAAGGACAAGCCCAGTGGTGCCATTGGCCTTCTTTCCAAGGGAACATGCCCTCTCTGCGTCCTTCGGGTTTCTTGTCTGACCCCACAATCAGGCTGATTCCACATTTCGGTTCTCCCGGAAGAGCAATCCAAAGAATCCAGTGGCCTGTAGGCTCATTTGCAATTTTTTAAAATCTGTTTTCATTTTTTATTTTTTTTTAAATTTTTAATAGTGAGACATCATGAGGTACAGTTGCAGACTTTGCAATTTTTTAAGGGAAACCCAGAACGAGCCATTCTTGGAGACAGGCTTCATTCCCAGACGCCGTTCACCTGAGGCTGGTCTTCTGATTGACTTCATCATTATGACACAGCAGTGTTTGAAGGAGAATCAAATGTTGCTTCATGAACTGTTTTTGCTCACTTTTTTTTTCTTTTTGGGTCACACCCAGCAATGCACAGAGGTTACTCCTGGCTCAGGATGTGACATGACACAGAGATGGCCCAACAAACACGTGCTGTAAAGAACAGTACCCGCACCCATGCACCATTACTCCTGGCAGTGCTTGGGGGACCATATGGGATGCTGGACCCGGGTGGGCCACGTGCAAGGCAAACGCCCTACCCACTGTGCTATTGTTCCAGCCCCACTTTTGCTCACTTCTGACAATGAAAAATTATTCAGAAAACTGTCTGTTGGTTCTGTGAACTCCTCATCATTATTCTGAGGGGAAAAAATACCTGTTATTGGTTCTTTCCCTCTTGGATTTAATATTTTGAGTGACATCACAGTGAGGATGGAAGTGGCACATGATAACTGTCAGATGAACAAAGTCCTTAGTTTGAGGGGAAACATTCACAGCATAGTAATAGTCTCAACAAATATGAATGCGAAATCTAGGTCTCATGAGAAAATGTGTCTTTGTCCATGTTCTGCAGCATGTTTGTTGATGTGAACGAAACAGATTATTTTCAAGGAAGAACTCTTCTATAAGAGATATGACATTTCTCTGTTATCAGTTATTGGGGGAAATTACAGGGATTGAAAGCATTATCTGTTGAAAAAAAACAGCATTGAATTATCAAAAGATCTGCATTTAATTTCCAAAATGTTGACCTTCTTGCTATCTTGATCATTTTAGTACCTTATAGACAAGTTGTTTAAAATAAAATGGTTATTTATAGCAAAGCATGCATGGGAGTTATAAAAGTATTAAACAATGATTCTGTGGGAGTTTATATCTCAGTCAGTGAACTACCCTAACGTCTTCTTAATATTTACTGTCTCACCTTGGTGATACAGACCTTAACATACACGGTAGTTGCAGGGTTACAGGAGGTATTCATACACAGAATGGAAGCGTGGGACCAGAAAGATGGTAGACGGGGAGTTAAGATGCTTGTTTGGCACGTGGTTGATTCTGGTTCAGTCCCCTGCACCACATAAATTCCCCTGAGCATCACAAGTTGTGACCCCAAATCCCCCAGCACCTAACAACAAAAGAAAGCAGAGTTGCCTGGATTCAAGCCCAGGGATGCTCAGCAAGTGGGGACAGAGCGCCCCCTGTGGCCAGAGCTGACACTGCCCATCCTCACTCCCCTTTGACTCACTTCTGGGGAGACAGAACCCTGAGACTCTCAGGTCTGTGTGGGGCTTTGTGCCTCCAAGAACCAGAATACGGGGACATGTACATGATTTGTAATTTAGAGGAAAAAAAAAAACACGTGCAGGGAAGTAGAGAGAATAAGCAGATTCCAGACAGAAGAGAATTAAAGGGGGAGGTGTGAGATGTTTTGAGCAACTATGGGGGTGGGATCAGAGAAAGTGGGCAGAGGTCACAGCAGTGAGCACAGAGGAGAGGGGAGGTAGATGGAGGTGACAGCATGTGAATGCGGAGGAGAAAGAGGGAGGAGGAGGAGGAGGTCACAGTGTATGAGCACAGAGGAGAGGAGGAGGAGGAGGAGGAGGAGGAGGAAGAGGAGGAGGCGGAGGAGGAGGAGGAGGAGGATGAAGGTCACAGTGTGTGAGCACAGAGAAAAGGAGGAGCAGGAGGAGCAGGAGGAGGAGGAGGAGGAGGAGGAGGAGCAGGAGGAGAAGGAGCAGGAGGGGGTGGAGGTCACAGCCTGTGAGCAGGACTGATTCCTAGGCCCCAGCAAAGCATCTTCCAGCCCTCAGTTTCCCCTTGGGAGAGGGCGGGGGAGAGGAAAGAACAAGGAACTACTGGGGAGCAGGGGTCAGGAGAGAAGAGACAATAAAACAAACCAAAATGGCTTGCTGTTAAGTTTCAATTGACCTCTTCTGTGACTGAAAGGCTCTGAAAAGTTTTCCAGCAAACACTCAACACTTCAAAGCAAGTATCAGAGGAATATAAAAGGACCACTGATAGACAGGAGAAACTAGGAAATTGGGGGAAAGTAAGTGACTTCTCAAAGCCCAACCTTTAGAAGGAGGAAGGAAGGTAGAAAAAGAAGGCAAGGTGGGAAAGATGCACTGGTCTGATGACTAGGGAGAGAGTGCCCAGAGAACCAGTGAAAGAGCAAAGGACTTTCAAGAAGGAAAGAGAAGCATGAGGACAAAGAAAGAGCAGGTGTGGGACAAAGGTCTGGGGCCGGGTGAGGTGTAATTTCCCGGGGGCTGTGCTGCCCTCAGCAAGCCTCACAGAAAGTTAGAGATTACTATAGAATCACTGTGGGCCAAACATTCAGTGCTGAAAGGAAACCCAAGGACAGGACCACAGCCTGGGGCCTCTGAGGGCGCTGGGAGGTGCCACTGACTAGAACCCAGCTAACAGAGCCAGGAACACAAGCTCTAGTCAAAGCGCTGAGTCGGCAGTGGAAGGGAAGGACAGATGGCCAGGCCGGGTTTCCTCTTCTAGGATAGAAACTGGAGCCACATAAAAGCACAGACACTAAGAAAAGGCACAGAAGGAAGCGAGTGCAAGCACTTCCCTTGCACTAGGTCTTCCTTTTCAGGCAATGCATTGGAAGAAAATGGCCAACAGGATCCACAATGGATAAACGTTTTAGAGACTTTGGTCCCAATACTGAGCAAAAGGAAGAGCTTTACTTCCTAAAATACCATCAAATGGTAAAAGGAGTTTTGGAAGAGAGGGGGGCATAAAACCCTCAGCAGCACATAATTCTGTCAATATTTAATTTTCCTTATACAAACTTCTAATAAGCGTCCCCAGCAACATCACTTTTTCATGATGATCAGAGTAAGAGAGTCTGCATATTTGTTTCTGTTTTGATTTTCTTGTACATCTCCCCCAGAAAGCTGGACTGTGTTTAATCTGCCTATTACACAGACAGCACCATGAGTGCTTGGGGAAATAGGGGTTGGAGGCACGGGGGGAGGGGGAGGGGTGTTCAGCACCAAATCCTTTCTGGACCTGAAAATATTCCTGCATCAACAGCTAGCCTTTCAATTTCCCTAGAAACTCAGGATCACCATGCTCCAGCCACTTTTCAAACTCCAATCCTTTCTCATCTGCTTCAATTCCAATATTTCCCTCATCCTTAATCCCATTCCGAATCACCAATTTTGCCAATGTTGCCAAGTTCCTTTACATATCTCCATGTAAAAAACAAAAGATCTTTTAAAATATATTTTTTCATGACTCATAACAGCCAAACAAAATATACAGGAAACTCTCAAATACAGTTCAATAATTCTACAAATCCAATTTCATGGGTAAATTTTAACAACTCCTTAAGGAACATATAATCCCACCTATATAGAACCTTCTCAGAGATAAGATAAAGAGATAAAGCATCTCATATAGATGTGAAGCTAGTATGATCTTGATTATCTGTATACTAAGGCTGAACAGACCATTATAAGGAAGGAAAATATGGGTCAACCTTCTTTGAGAATATGGTTGAAAACATTTCTAAGAATTACCAAATAACAATCTTTAAATTCCCCTCTCACTGCCTCGTATCTAGAAAAGGATAGGACTTATCCCAGAAATGCAGAAGTGATTCAAGAAAGATTTTACCATGTAAGAAAAATCTATGGGTCTAATTCACCATCATGATAACAGATTTCAACCACAGAATGAATTCATTATCAATGTTGCTTTTAAGGGAATGGAGAGAAAATGCACCGTTATGGGCCAGAAAACCTACGGGGGGTTAAGTATCACAAAGGGTTGGAGAGAATCTTATCCTAGGCTAGTGGTGGGGAAGAAGCTTATGCGATGCCAATGAAATATCAGAGAGGATTAGGTGAGCTGAAAGGGTCACAGGGCACATGGGGGGGGGCGGTGGTGAGCGGGAGGGGGGATAAGATATACTTTTGAATACTCTCGACCTCATAAATGCTTGTTCCTTTTCCCAAATTAACTTTCCCCCTCCCTGATCTTGCAGGCTGATCTTGCAGCCTCCTTCAGGAGGTGCTGAAAGAACCCTAAGGTGGTGTGGAAGTCAAGTATGGGGGCCCATACAACCAGACCTGTGAAATGAAGCAGTCATATAAAACCTATAATTTGAGTTGAATACTCTGTGGGCTGGACTTACAGCACAGCAGGTAGGGCATTTGTCTTGCACGCAGCTAACCCGGATTCGATTCCTCCACCCCTCTTGAAGAGGCCAGCAAGCTACTGAGAGGATCTCGCCCACACGGCAAAGCCTGGCAAGCTCCCCGTGGCATATTCGAT